CATTTTACAGCTCACTGACCATTTGGCGATCCATTGAGAGGAGGGTTTGGAAAAGTGGCTCCTTTGTGACAGCTCTCGCCAGATTGGGGGGCCGTTCATTTGCATCTCATTAGCCATGCGGGCGGCCGGCGGAATATAAGGGCGGCAGGCGCCGGCCAGAGCCAGATCCTCGGCGCGCACCCGCGGAGAACCGGCCCAGCCGAGGGCAGGTCGCCTGGAGAGGACTGGCAGCCGCAAGGAGCCTCGCACATCCCGGGCCTTGGTCTCTGCGCGCCTTTACTTGGATGGCATTGGCTGGATTCTTCGGGAAGACGCGAGTCTTTGCGGTGGCGCAGGAGATTCGGGTCCACGGCACTACCGTAGCGACCGCCGCCGCCGAGTGACACCGGGCCGCGAACGCAGGGCGCGCGCCGCGCACCCGCCGCCACCGCTGACCGTCTGCTCCGCGCGCCCCGCGGGGCCCCGGATTATCGCCTCGCTCGTGGGATTTCCAGACCGCCGCTTTCTAATCGGCCTCCGAAGGAAGCCTCTGTAGCTCTCTTGGGAATTAAGCTGAATATCTGGACGTTTCCCTTCTCTCTATCCTTCCTTCCCTCCTCCCTCCCTCTCTCGCTCTTTCCATCTCTCTTCTTTCTTTCCTGCGAAGAGGATTAAGACAAAACCAGGAAGCAAGCGACCCTCACCTACTCGTGGATTGGAAGAGAGGAGAAAAAGGAAAGTTGCAGCTCCCGTCTCGACAGGGGGCCCTTTCTCTCGCCCGTCGGGGAGCTGCGGGCAGCCATCGAGGGCGGATCTACAGAACCGCAGCCTCTGAAAGAGCAGGGAACACCGCTGAGGCCAGGCGTCTTGGTCGTCCCAACTGAAGCAAAGCGGGGCTGCTTTCCTGCCCGCGCTCCCGGGGCACAGTGGCCCTCCTGGCGGTCCCCGCCCTTTGGAGAAGAGGAGAGTAGGAGGGCGACGGCGTCCAGAGGGACCATGGGCCGTCGAAGTGCGCTGGCCCTAGCTGTAGTGTCCGCCCTGCTGTGTCAGGTAGGCAGTCGGGCGGGGCTGCAGCGTGGTGGAGGGCGGGGAGCGATGAGCGGCG